TTTTGATTTTTGACAAGACACCATCGTAATAAGCTGTAATTAATTAAAGAAAATCAATAATACAAGTTAAATCAAAATTAAAATCATCGATTATTATTTATTTAACTAGCAATTTCTACGTGTTGTGCAAGATCTCATGTCCAACGTTAAAGCATAATTTAAAATTTCTGTTGAGAAGGTAAATGTATTATCAATTGAATAAGTTGTATAATTGAAGTGAGATTAGTAAACTATTATTACAATAAACCACGTTTAGTTTACAAAAGAGTATAAAAGAAATATAAAAAAGTAGTGAAAAATGGGTATGAAAAATAATAGTGAAAATGCATGAACTATTGGGTAGGTAGTTTTTTTAGGTTAATTATTCTTTTACATGTAGAGGATTACAATTTATGTGCGAAGATTAAAGAAAAAAGTGTTGAATAAAGAAAGTGAATAAATTGCAAATAATTTAAGAAATTGAATGTAATTAGCATGTCATGGGCTTATAAAATTGATTAAAATGATATGACATCATTGATTGGGCAACAAAAGTATAGAGGTCAAATTTTAATATTTTTAACCTTATTTAATTTCATCTTGCAATATTAATGTTAACAGTGTTATAATGACATGATACCATTTTTGTTTAATAAAAATGTAATATACACTTTTTAAAATGTAATGTACAACTTCCTTATCACAAGAAAAACATATCAGAATCAAATGTATAACTTTAATTCACACATTTAAGTGTTCTAGATTTATCAATGGGCAAAGTGAAAGAATATTAAAGAAAAAAAAAAAAGATAAAAGATTCCTTGTGTGCACATGAAGACTAGGATTTGACCGGTGAACTGCTTGCGCGACTTGCGATTTAACTCCGCAATGGCTCTAGGGGCAGGGTCATGTGAGCTCAAGATTAGTTCGATAAAACTGGAATAATTAAGTAAAAAAATAAATAAATTATGATGTGTGCATATTAAGCATGTCCCTATGGTGCACACAACGCATGCTTAATATGCACACAACATAATGCTCCCTAATCTATTCCATGAACCAAACATATTTTTAAGGAGTAAAACTGTAAAACTCCAATTACATATGTTGATTTTATTGAAGAAAGGGAAAAAAAATTTTGTGACTTTTTTTTTTAAAAAAAAATTTCTAAATCAATTAAAGCATACTATCATAGATTTTTTTATTTTGTTTTTTTTTTTTTTTTTAAAAAAAAGCTAAAAATAAGTATTATTCAAGCAAAAGAAAATGAATGATAAATTTTCTCTAGCAAAACTAGTTTAGTAATTCAGTATCTCATCATTATTGCATGGATCATAAATAAAAAGTACATTTTTAATATACTATGGTTGTTTCAATACTTATATTCGATAACTGACGCAGAGCATTAACTCCTTGAAGTAACGGCCGTTGACACCCAAAAAAAAAAAGAGGGAGATGGAAGGGAAGGAAAAAAAGAAAAAGAAAAAAAAGTAAAACAAAATATGAAAAAAAGAATTACAGATTAATGTTGTTGGGCACGTGGAGTGCACGCGCCCGACTAGGCGCATTTTGGTACTTTTCACGCAATAAGGGGCAAGTTTTTTTTTAGGTAAGTCCTACTTTGGAGACAAAAAAAAAAAAAAAAAAAAAGTTCTTGCACAATGACCCATTTCCTTCTCTGCCTTCTCTCTCTCCTTTACATAACTATTAGAGCAACTCCAACGTAACGCCAAATCTGCATTTTCCAACGCCAAACCACCATCCCTGCAAAATTAGCTCCTCCAATGTATGCCTGCAAAACGGCATAACGCCAATTGTTTTGGCGTTAATGAATAGTGTCGCGCCATATATGGTGTAGCACTGTTCATCCACAACAAATGTAGAATAAGAAAGTAATAGACCATTTTGCCCTTACTTCTTTTTATAATTCCAAATTTATCATTTATTTGTTTATATGTAATTTTTTATTTGTTAAATACTTATATTTAAAGTTTGTATTATTAAATATAAATTATACCATTTTAAAGATCTCATTGAGACGATCGAAACAAGACTAATATTGAATATATATTAATTAAAATTTTAAATACATCAAACATATAGTAATTCCAACAATTAAATGTACTAGATGTTTTATGCTATATTATTATTTTGGAATAAACTAAATTTTCAAAAATACTGTTAAATTCGATTTTTTTGAAATAATTATAGCATAAAAATTATTGTTAATAAAAATTATTATTTACATCACAAGTTATATTTTATATTAAACTAATTAAGTTCGAACTAAATTATATTAAACTAATTAAATTCGAACTAATAATTGAGAAATCAAATTATTTTAATGTAGAAATTTGGTGTTTTGGTGTAAATGGGTTGGAGATGAATAAAATTTGGTGTGAGAATATGCTGAGAATATTCATTTTGATGTGAGATTTGGTGAAGAAATTTGATGTTTTGGTGTGAATTAGGTTGGAGATGCTCTTACAACATTACAAACTTCCCAAAAACTACTATTGTACTTGCCCTAAGCAGAAATACGAGATTTACCGTCCCGCCAACTTTGTGTTTACTTTAAGTCAAGTAATTGACCACTTAAACTAATTTTGCCAGACAAAATTTATCATTCTTTTTCTTTCGCTTGAATAATACTTATTTTTGGCTTTTAAAAAAAAATATCGTAGTATTTTTTTAGAATGAAAAATATCGTAGTATACTTTAATTGATTCAGACATTTTTTTTTAGAAAAAGAGACAATTTTTATTTATTTATTTTCCTTTTTTTTTTCAATAAAATCAACTCCAATTATATATGTTGATTTTATTGAAAAAAAAAGGAAAATAAATAAATAAAAATTGTCTCTTTTTTCTAAAAAAAAAATGCCTGAATCAATTAAAGAATACTACGATAGATTTTTTTTTTAAGCCAAAAATAAGTAGTATTCAAGCGAAAGAAAAAGAATGATAAATTTTGTCTGGCAAAATTAATTTAAGTGGTCAATTACTTGACTTAAAGTAAACACAAAGTTGGCGGGACGGGATTATGCAGAGAAAAGAGAGAAGACAGAGAAGGAGATGGGTCCTTATGCAAGAATTTGTTTTGTTTTGTTTTTTTTTTTTTTTTTTTTTTTTGGTCTCCAAAGTAGGACTTACCCCAAAAAAAAAAAAAAAATTGCCCCTTGCCGCGTGAAAAGCATCAAAATGCGCTTAGTCGGGCGCGTGCACTCTATGTGCCCAACGACGTTAATCTATAATTTTTTTTCTTCATATTTTGTTTTACTTCTTTTTGTCTTTTTCCTTTCTTCCTTTCCTTCCATCTCCCTCTTCGCCCCCCCCCCCCCCCCCCCCCCCCCTTCCTTTTGGTCCCCTTTTGGTGTCAACGGCCGTTACTTCAGGAGTTAATGCTCCGCGTCGGTTATAGAATCAAAATGGCCACCTCGTATAAAAGTATTAAAAGTGAAAATAATCCGTCTTAAAATATAAGTATTAAGACAATGATTATCACCAAAACACAAAAATCAAATGCCGTTTGAAAAGCATCAAAATGCGCCTAGTCGGGCGCGTGCACTCTACGTGCCCAACAACGTTAATCTATAATTTTTTTTTCATATTTTGTTTTACTTCTTTTTTTTTTCTTTTTTCCTTTCTTCCTTTCCTTCCATCTCCCTCTGCACCCCCCCCCCCCCTCCCCCCTTCTTTTTGGTGTCGACGGCCGTTACTTCAGGAGTTAATGCCCCACGTCAGTTATAGAATCAAAATGACCACCTCGTATAAAAGTATTAAAAGTGAAAATAATCCGTCTTAAAATATAAGTATTAAGACAATCATTATCACCAAAACACAAAAATCAAAATCGCAGCCAACGTAGTCAAATCGTTAACTTGGTAATCTCAAGGTACAAGTTCAACTCTTAACTAGAGCAACATATTGACTTTCTTATTTTGAACATATTAAAAATTTTATTGTAGTCCTATGAATCACAACACGAGATTTAATTATCCGATATATACGCACATGTGGTGAAGAAAAGTCATCATTTATGGGTAAGCTTGTTATAATGTGAATTATTTTTCTCACGTATGTGTATATAATTAATTTCTTATGTTTCCATTTTAATTTGAAGCTTCTATTATAACTTATAAGTCAATTAATCTCACATACATATACAGTAGCTATACATACACACATACATAATATTAAGGTTATTTTTGGGGTAGGGTCTATCTTATTTTTGAATCAGAGTCTACAATTCAAGATAGACCCTGATCAATGGTATAATTTGCTGTCATATTTGGCTCTTTCTGTGTGTATGTCAACGGCCGCTAATTCAAGGAATTAATGCTCCGCGTCCGTTATCGAATCAAAATCGCAACCTTGAAGTATTAAAAGTGAGATTGTAATATTTATGCAAAGGAGAGAGAAGACAGAGAAGGAAATGAGTCTTTGTGCAAGAACTTGATTTTTTGTCTCCAAAGTAGGACCTACCCAAAAAAAATTTGCCCCTTACCGCGTGAAAAGCACCAAAATGTGCCTAGTCGGGCGCGTGCACTCTACGTGCACAACAATGTTTTAATCTGTAATATTTTTTTTTCATATTTTTTTTTTCTTTCCTCCTTTCCTTCCATCTTTTTTTTTTTTTTTTTTTCTTTTTGGTGTCGGTGACCGTTACTTTAAGGAGTTAATGCTCCGTGTTAAAAGTGAAAATAATTCGTCTTAAAATCATATCACCAAAACACAAAAATCAAAATCATAGCCAACTTAGTCACATTGTTAACTTGGTAATCTCAAGGTACAAGTTCAACTCTTAACCAGAGCGACATATTGGTGAAAAAAAGTCATCATTTATGAGTAAACATATTATAATGTGAATTATTTTTCTCATGTATGTGTATAATTAATTTCTTATGTTTCCATTTTAATTTGAAGCTACTATTATAAGTCAATTAATCTCACATACATATACAGTAGCTATACATACACACATACATAGTCAAAAACTCAAAGACAGAATGGGGTGGGATCCTAGGAGGGAATAGTGGGGAGGTGGTGCACAAGCTAAGGTTGTTGATCTCAAGGTATTCCTTCCTTGTTAATTTGTTCTGTAATTAAATTAACAATTTTGTTTTTGTTTCTGATTTTGGGTTATTTTATTATGGCCTTTTGTAATCTTTTTCTCTGTAATGGAAAACCCAGATTAATAAAAGGGTTTTGCTTCTGAAGGGGTTGAGTTTAAACCAAGAAAACCCCCAAACAAGAAGAGAAGAAAAAAAGAAAAGAAAAAACACAACACAGAGATTGAGGAAAGGAAGAGCAAAACCCAAGAAGTGTTTTTGACATGCAATTGCAAACCCAAGAAAGGTTTGGAATTTGAGGCAAATGTCTATCTTAATCTCTATCCCAAGAAAACAATCTTCTTCTTCTACTTCTACTAGTATTGTTTCTTCATGGCTACCATTTCTCTTCTTTATCTTCACTCTGTTTTTTTCCGGCGCCGGCGCCGGCAACCATGAGGCGGCGACGCTCTACTCGTGGCTGCACTCCTCGGCGGCGCCACCGCCACCCCTTTTCTCGTCATGGAACCCACTGGACCCCACTCCATGCAAGTGGGATTTCATTACATGCAGCGCTGAGGGGTTTGTGGCCGAGATTAACATTCAGTCTATCAGCCTTGAGCTCCCCTTGCCTGCAAATCTCTCTTCTTTCACACACCTGAAAAAGCTTGTGATTTCTGATGCAAACATCACAGGGACTATCCCCTGGGAGGTTGGGGACTGTTCTGACCTCACTCTCATTGATTTCAGCTCAAATAGCATTGTGGGTAGTGTTCCTTCCACCATTGGGAGGCTCCAAAATCTTCAAGATTTGATCTTGAACTCAAATCAGCTCACTGGGAAAATCCCAGTTGAGTTGGGCAATTGTTCTAGCCTAAAAAGCCTTCACCTTTTCGATAACCGGCTCACTGGGAAGCTGCCCAGAGAGCTAGGGCTCTTGGCAAATCTTGAGGCTCTCAGGGCAGGTGGGAACCAGGATATAGTTGGAGAAATCCCAGAAGAGATTGGAAACTGTGGGGAATTGACAGTTTTAGGCCTTGCTGATACGAGGATTTCGGGTTCATTGCCAGGCTCTTTGAGTAAGCTTCAGAAACTCCAGACATTGTCTATTTACACTACAATGTTGTCTGGTGAAATCCCATCTGGTTTAGGTAACTGTTCTGAGCTTGTGAATTTGTATTTGTATGATAATAGTCTTTCTGGTTCAATCCCACCTGAGCTTGGGAATCTTAAGAAGTTAGAGAAATTGTTTCTGTGGCAGAACAGCTTGGTTGGGGGTATTCCAGAACAGATTGGGAATTGTACCAAATTGAGTATGATTGATTTGTCTTTGAACTATTTGTCTGGCTCTATACCTTTGTCTTTTGGTGGGCTTCTTGAGCTTCAGGAACTAATGCTTAGTAACAACAATGTTTCCGGTTCGATCCCCTCTGGTCTGTCGAATGCGAAAAGTTTAGTACAATTGCAGCTCGACACGAACCAGATTTCAGGATTGATTCCTCCGGAGTTGGGGAATTTGTCGAGCCTTCAAGTGTTTTTCGGGTGGGCGAATCAGCTCGAAGGCAGTGTGCCTTCGAGTTTGGCTAGCTGTAGTAGCCTCCAATCTCTGGACTTATCGCGAAATTCCCTCACTGGTAGTATTCCCCCCGGGTTGTTCTTGCTAAAGAATCTCACAAAGCTTCTCTTGATTTCGAATGATATTTCGGGCACGTTGCCTCAAGAAATGGGGAATTGTAGCTCCTTAGTGAGGCTGAGGCTTGGGAAAAACCGAATCACGGGTTTGATCCCGAGAGGGATTGGGGGATTGAAGAGCTTGAACTTTCTTGATTTGTCGGGAAACCGGCTTTCTGGACCCGTCCCTGATGAGATTGGAAGGTGTGTGCAGCTTCAAATGGTGGACCTGAGCAACAATATATTAGAAGGTCCTTTGCCTAATTCTTTGTCGTCTTTATCTGAGCTCCAAGTCTTGGATGTTTCGAGTAATCGTTTCAATGGTCCTATACCCGCAAGCCTTGGGCGCTTGGTTTCGTTGAACAAGCTCGTTCTAAGCGAGAATTCATTCTCGGGATCAATATCTCCCTCGCTTGGCCTGTGTTCAAATCTTCAAATTCTTGATCTTAGCAGCAATGAGCTTTCGGGTAGTATCCCGGTTGAGTTGGGGAAACTCGAGTCCCTCGAAATCGCACTTAACCTTAGTAGCAATCAGCTAATCGGGCCAATTCCTGCTGAAATCTCTGCTCTCACTAAACTTTCAATTCTTGACCTATCCCACAACAAGTTCATAGGGAACTTGAGTGTACTAGCGAAGCTCGAGAATCTCGTCTCCCTCAACGTGTCCTACAACAACTTCACCGGTTTTCTCCCCGACAACAAGCTCTTTCGCCAGTTATCTGCATCGGACATTGCTGGAAACCAAGGGCTATGCACTTTTGGCCGGGGGTCGTGCTTCCTTAGAAACACTGAGGGTGTAACGAACGATGCAAAGTCGAAAAAGCTCAGACTGGCCATTGCGTTGCTCATAACTATGACAATCGTGATGGTTATCATGGGCACGATTGCTATACTGAGAACCCGAAAGACTATGAGAGGGGACGATGATTCCGAGATGGGAGAGTCGTGGACTTGGCAGTTCACTCCCTTCCAGAAGCTCAATTTCTCGGTCGAAGAGGTTCTGAAGTGTTTAGTCGATTCCAATATCATTGGAAAGGGTTGTTCCGGGATTGTTTACCGTGCTAATATCGATAACGGTGAGGCTGTGGCAGTAAAGAAGCTCTGGCCTACAACGATTGCCAACGAGGGTAAGAGTGGAGTTCGTGATTCCTTTTCAACCGAGGTGAAAACGCTTGGCTCGGTACGACATAAGAACATCGTTAGGTTCTTAGGTTGTTGCTGGAACCGAAACACGAGGTTACTCATGTACGACTACATGCCTAACGGGAGCTTAGGCAGCCTCCTACACGAGAGGAACGGGAACCCTCTCGAGTGGGAAATGAGGTACAAAATTTTGTTGGGAGCAGCACAAGGAATCGCTTACTTGCACCACGATTGTGTCCCGCCTATCGCTCACCGAGATATCAAGTCTAACAACATTCTCATCGGTCTCGAATTCGAGCCTTACATAGCTGACTTTGGCCTCGCTAAGCTAGTCGATGATGGCGATTTTGGTCGATCCTCCAACACCGTTGCAGGCTCATATGGCTATATAGCTCCCGGTAAATACTTATTTCTTTCAATTCACACTATATATGAGCTTATTGAATGTCACAATTTTAGCACTCACACTTTATATGAGCTGATTGACTAATGTCACAATTTTAGCTCACATATAGCGAATTTTGGACTTAATTCCTATACAGAATATGGCTATTCAATGAAGATCACTGAGAAAAGCGACGTGTATAGCTATGGAGTGGTTATATTAGAAGTTTTGACGGGGAAGCAGCCAATTGATCCAACGATACCAGAAGGCGACCACATTGTGGATTGGGTACGAAAGAGGAGGGGAGGGGCAGAGGTGCTCGACCCGAGGTTGGGCTCGGGGCCAGACTTGGATATCGAGGAAATGATGCAGGCGTTAGGGATAGCGTTGTTGTGTGTAAACCCGGCGCCTGCTGAGAGGCCTACGATGAAAGACGTGGCAGCAATGCTGAAGGAAATGAAGCACGAGAGGGAGGAATACGCGAAGGTCGACGCCCTCCTCCTCAAGGCCTCCCCTACAAACCAAGAAAACGCGAAGGGTCTCTCGGCAACGACGTCTTATGGAGAAGGCGGTAATGCAGCGAGCTTCTTCTCCGCTTCCTCGGTTCTCTATTCATCATCCTCCAATGCCAAAACCGGGTTCCAATGACTGTTCACATTGTTGTATCAAAAGAAGCTTGTCTTGTTTCTATGTTTTTTTTTTTTTTTTTGGGTACTTTTTATTGTGTTGTAAAGATGGAAAAGAGTAGATAATTGTGTGTTACAACTGTGTTCTAGCTGTGGAGAACATATTATATTAAATGATGAAGACAAGTTGTGCAAAATTTGGGTGTTGTGTGATTCTGCAACATATTCTCCAGGTTTTAAGTTCCATGTTGCGTTGCAGCTAAGAATTGGAACTTGGAATTGCAAATGATTAAACAGTTCTTGTCTTCTTGATGTCATTATGCCACCATTACTTTTCTCCTTTTTATATGGACTCCACTATACTTAAATTATATCTATGTTGCACACAAACTCTATGGGGGAGTGCTCAAGGCGAGTTTAATCTACTTTTGGACTCCATAAAATAAAAAATCTTTGACTTGACTTGGCCTATAGCTCAAAATATTTAAAATTTTAATTTTTTTTCTTCAATTTCTTTAATTTAGACTTAATATATTTATCAATGACTGATTAAAGTATGGATTGGGATCAATCCTTATACCATGGACCAAGATTTACAGTGCAATGATCAATCCTTATACCATGGACCAGGATTTACAGTGCAATGTGGATCCTGGATGGTGTATGTGTGTCTTATGTTGTGAGTTTGTGTATTGTGTTATGAAATTATGTACCTTATGAGTATGAATTTTGTACATGAAATAAATTAGTAATTGTGTCTTTATGTTATGGATTTTTTGTTTTGTGTTGTGAAATTCTGTGCCGATAAACACAAATTATGTACCTAAATCAGATTTGAAAAAATAAGTAAATATATAACATGTGTATGTTCCTTGTGTTGTGATTTTTTGTGTCTTGTGTTATAAAATTATGTTACTTACAAGTATCAATTATGTACCTCATCGTTTCAATTCAGGGTCCATAATACAATGTGGACCTTGATCCATGATATAAATTGTGGATGGGGATGAGCTAGATCAAACAATAAAAATCTTGGTCCAACACTCTAGCCCACAATCCCAAAAAAAAATAATAATAATAATCAGGGATAAATGGGATAATAGTTAAATAGATTTTTTACACACACACACCCACCCCAAAATGATCATTTTTAATATACTAAAGGTTTATTATTAATGTATTGACCCATTTTTAAATAGTATATTAAATAATGAATCTTCAGGACAATAAAAATGAATATTCAAAAAGCAAACATTTAATATATGAAAAATGACACTTTTCCCCCTTAGTTATATACTTATAACACGTTTTCTCCCCTGAATTATTCATGTATCCACAGTATCCCCTCAATTTATTCTTCTTCAAATTATGACTACAATTTGGTTCAAACTAAACAGACACTATAGCAACCAAATCAAAAGGTTCCGATTAACGATTTAGAACCGGAATCCGACATTTGGATTTCAGTTTATTAAAATCGTGAACCAGAACAGATGGTTTCGGTTCTGAACTAAAAATATAATTGGGCCACTCAACTAAAAAGAAGTGCAATTAGATCATTCAACATTGTAAAATTATACAATTTGTCCAAGTGACTCGCAGTGGCAAGTTACCAACAAGTAATTAATTAAAAATTTTAAAAAGAAATTAAAAATTATTTAAAAAAAAAAAAAAAGGTGTCGGAGACCACCAGATCATATCCATGGAGACTATCTTGTCTCCATGGATCTGGAAGAGAGAGGGGTAACGGCGACGAGGCTGGGCTTCCTGGCGACGGACGGCGTTACGACCAGGAGTAGCGGCGGCGACAGAACTCGGAGAAACATGACGATAAAGCTTTCGGTGTTCTGCAAATCGTCGATTGGCTGGCATTGCGACAGCGGGCGGCGATTGCAAAGCGAATGGCGATAGCATCGACAGTAGGATGTTCAGCGATGGCGGTGATGCTACTCCGATCTCTCACTCGGCTCAGGGTGGTAGCGCTGATGGTTGTGTTTTGAGTGGGAGAGAAGGCGGAGAGTTCGATGGTAGCGAAGCAGTGCTGCTTCCGCCGCCAGTGACCTCTCTCTCTCTCCATGAGTCAGCGTCCGTCTCTTTCTCTCTCATTGTTGGCTTTGCGTCCATGGGTGTCTTTCGTCTCCATGGAGACGATCGGAGAGTCGGAGACTTTTTTTTTTTTCTTTTTAATTTTTAACTAATTACATGTTCGTAACCGTCATTGCATGTCACTTGGGACAAATTGCATGGTTTTACAATGTTGAATTGTTTAATTGTACTTTTTTTTTTTTTAATTGAGTGGTCCAATTACATTTCCACGTTATGTTCGAGGGCTAAATTTGAGCCTTATTCCTTAAAATTATAGCTTCAACTTAACCTCACATGCAGCAAACAAACAGAAAAGGACGATGCCTGAAATAATGCATGAGGTTGAAAGTTTCAATTAAGTTGTGATGTTCTTTCACGAGATTGGAAGATTTGGGTAAGTTAAATATATATGATAAAGATATACATGAATGGATGCATGGGCCTAAGCCTATAGCGCAGCCCTGTATAATGCAGCCTGCATAGCCCCATTTCAAATAGGAGTATATTATCCCAGAAAAATGATAAATGTATTCTTATAGAATATAATTCTCTTTGCATAACAAATTTTATTGGGTAAAAAAAAAACTGAATAAACAATAATAACAGCTCATTTTATTTTTAGATCAATTAGAGTATGATACCTGAGCAGAGAATATGAAATGGAGTAGAAAATGAGATTAGAAGTAGTATTTACTCATCATCTCATAACCCGCCAATTTGCCAAATGACTTCTTGATGCAAGGGAAACCACAGAATTGATTCTTCATTCAATTCACAAGATCGAGTTGTTGCCATGTTTTTAACTTTTTTATGTGATGAAGGGAATTTTGTAATATATCATGATTCACATAATAACTATACCATCCGATGATATATGTGAGAAAAATTTCGTTCTTGTATAATGTGAGGATATTTTTTCAGAAATTTGAAATAAATTATTTTTTTAAAAATGTCAGTCCACAAGAACACACTTTCCTTGAAAATCATTTCATTTTTCCCTAATGATGATAGGAGTATTAAAACTTTGATTTTCCCCGGATATAATGGATTACATGTATATATTTGAGCACTCAAATATAAATATTTTAACGAATTGACTTGAATCAAGACACACTTTGTAAGTTTTAATTTAAAGTGTTGACAGAATAAACTTGAGAAAATTAGAGAGAAATTGGGAATTTTGTTCGAAAAAGCACCAAAACGTTATGTCAAATACACGTACACATGACATGTTTTTTTTTTTTTTTTTTTTTTTTTTTTAAATTTGAAAAATTATACACGTCACTGCTTATTGGGACACCAAATCAAATTAAACCAGTTTAAACTGGGAGATTAGCAGCTAGTTGACCAAATTGCCTTAATTTGATAACATGAGGTCATTAATTAAAACTTTTAATATTTTAGGGCTTAATTACAATATGGTGTAATTATGTATATTTTAAAGGTTTATTTAACCATTTTATCTCCGATGAGATCAAGCTTTAAATTCTATTTACTTCAAGGTGATCCTTTAGTGGTGTTATTTGTTTTCAAACAATAGATTCATATAGTTACTTAAGTTACATGTACTTCTTTAAAAAAGAAAAGAGCATATTAATAAAGTACTCCTTGTATGAAATAAATATTTAAAATTAAAAACAAATTATATTTTAGTCCCTATATTTATATAAAATAATAATATAATTCATTCAATTATTAGTGTGATTAGTATTGACTTTTAATTTTTGACAAGGTGAAAATGTTGGTCCGCTTTTTTACAAGATCACAGTTTTAATGAGAGTAAATTTTATTTTTTTGTCCTAGATTTGTAGGTGGTAGTTCACTTTTAGTTATTTTCATAGAATATTTATATTTAGTTATAGTATTATTGTGACAGATCATTTTTGGTCCTCCGTCAACTAAATTGTTAAAATGCCGTTAAATACAAATACATTAAGATCATTTTTATACAAATTGTGTTGACCTTGCTATATTTGTATGTTTATATTTTTGAAAAAAAAATATGTAATTGAAAATTGAAATGCCTTTGTATTTAACGACGTTAAAACTGTTGCTAAGTACTTTGTGCTCAGATGGTATGTAGTGACCTCTCCCATGTGAGAGATCATAAGATCGAACCTCGGTGGACAGAGACGGAGCTAGTGTGCCCCCATTCCCCCACCCACCCCTTTATATATATGTATGTATATATACACATATATAGCATTAGATGTTATCTAAAATAAATATTTATGTTCAATTTGTGATAGTTTGAATAGTTTAGTTGGTTGAACTCTAATTTTTTTCTTTAAGAAAGTGTATGGGCATAGGTTCAAATCTCATTAACAACATTTTTCTTATCTTCACTTGTTTATTTTATCTTCTTCATTCTTTCCTAAGATAAATATTTTTTAGTCCACTTTTATAAATCAATTAATTCACAAATTAAATATTCTTGTAATCTACCTTTTATGAATCATTCAATTAATGTAATATACAAATTTATATTCAATTAATTGTGTTCGAATTAATTTAGAAAAACTTAAAGTTGATCTAACTAAAAAAATTAAATTAAAACATATTTATGAATATAGTGTTATTCAAATTATTTTTATCTAATTGATTATGTTTCATATATTGTCATAAATATTTTCACATTGTCACCCCACTCAAGTATATTGTTGCCTCCGACTTTAACTATCGTGTAATATATTAAATATATTTTATTATAATTTATAATGTATTTTGTATTTTAACCTTATTATGATTGTTTGATATTTTGTAACTAACATTTCTAATGTTATTTAAACTTCGCCCTCACTCATAAAATTTTCTAGCTCCGTCCCTGTCAATGGAGGCGTTGTTGACTCTGCGTGCTTCATTAGGTTGAGAAAGTATGTTTGAACACATACTACAATGTAATAAAAAAAATCACTAAAAGTGGACTGCCACCTATAAATCTAGTATCGTCAAAGTGGACCGAAGCCCGCGGGTTGGCCCACCCCCGCCCCATGGTGGGGCGGGTTAGGATCATAAAAAAATAGGCTCGTGAAAATGCGGGCCTAAAGGGACGGGTCGGAATTGACTTGCAACTCACGCAGGCTGCAGGTCAACCCGCGGGCCAAATTAGTTAACAGTTACGGATACGGCATACGGAATAATTAAGATTGTGGCTTCTTATTTAGTGCATACGTTTATATATATATGTGTGTGTGTGTGTGTGTGTGTGTGTGTGTGTGTGTGTGTGTATTCAAATGAGGACAAGTATATTATAGAGGACTGTGAAGACAGATGTAGTGTGTGCCATTAGCCGATATGTTGTGTGCATGACCGAATGTAGTCGTGTATCACAGTTTGTATGTCGCTTGCTAGATTTGTCAATTTATAGAGCCTGGGTTCGAAACCTGATGTTTACATTTATTCTTGTGTGTCATTATGTATTAAGTTGTGTACCTGGTATTAATTTGTTGTGTGTCCATTATTTGTCCTCACAGTCCTCTATATATTATTGTCCTCATTTGAACTCAACCCTATATATATATATATATATATATATATATATATATATATATATATATATATATATATATATATATATATATATATATATATATATATATACACTCAGGTGCGAATAAGTGCCCAGGAAGGAAATGCGAACGAATCAGCGCGTGACACGTGTCCAGATCTAATAACTTAAAAAAAAACGCGGTGGCATTTTCGTAAATAATTAAACATCGAAGTGCAAGTAAAATCTCTTATAAGTGCACCTATTTTCACCTATAAGTGCATGTAATTTTGCCTTGTTAGCATTCACTTTCCGCAACCATTCATGCACCTGGGTGTGCTTATAACTATATGTGCAACTATTTATAACTATAGGTGCAACTACTTATAACTATATGTGCACCTACTTTCACCTATAAGTGCATGTAATTTTGTCTTCTTAACATTCATTGATCTGAGTTCAGCGGGTAGTAATACTCCTGAAAACCACTCGCAAACATTCATACACCTAGATGCAACTACTTATACCTATGTGTGCAACTATTTAGAACTATAGGTGCAACTACTTAGAACTATAAGTGCAACTAAGTATTGATGCTCAGTGTAAATTTTTACTTGCACCTATAATACATTTTACATGCACTTGTAATACATTTTACTTGCACTTCGATGTTCAATTATTTACGAAAATGTCACCGCGTTTTTTTAAAAAATCACTGTTTCTCATCCATTAGATCTGGACACGTGGACGAACAGAATCCATTCCTATTTCGCGCCTGGGCGAGCCGTTCGCACCCGAGTGCAACTCTCTCTCTCTCTCTCTCTCTCTCTATATATATATATATATATATATATATATATATATATATATATATATATATATATATATATATATATATATATATATATGCGGGTATATCTTCCTATGCGGTTGCACATGCACATTAATTTCACAAACCGCCCACCTTAAGCAAAAAATAAAGCATCTCAAGAACACAAATCACTCACCTTAAGTTTCAACAACTGACGTACCTTAAGTATGAAAATCACGCACCTTAGGAAGGAAAATAACGCAGTACCTTAAGCATGAAAATAACGCAACTTAGGAAGAATAATCACACACTTAAAGCTTTAATTGACGCATATTAAGTTTCAACACTGACGCACCTTAAAGCATACAAACCATGCACCTTAAAAAGAAAAATCACACACATTAAGAAAGAAAATCACGCACTTAAAATTTAGACCGACGCACTCAATTTTTCAACAATTGATGCAACTTAAGCCACATAGTACAAAAACCACGCATCTTAAGCACAAAAACTTCACACCTTAAGAATGAAAATCATTCACCTTAGAAGAAAAATCACGCATCTTAAATTTGACATAGATGCAAAATGGCCAAATTGTCACCGTGTTTTTTTAATTATTGTTCGATTTAAACAAGATCAACTCAGATTTAATTGCACAATCACACGTGAAACACCCCCTTTTATTTTCTTATTTCATATGAAGGCAATCAATACAAAATATCGATTACTAGGTAGAGGGTACTCTTACTTGAAAATAAGTGATTAAAATATGGAAAGAGAAAGTACGAACATGTTTTATGTCAAAAGAGATTAATAAGAGTAATAAATTTCTCATTAGCATAGTTAAACATTTGTAACAACGACACTGTTACATGCAATTCCCAGAAGGAAAAAAAAAAATGTTGTTATAGTAGGGTAGTTTAATTAGTTGGATTTTTTGTCCCCAAGGACTTGTTTCGTTATAGTTTTAGTCACTTTCTCCCATGACCCTTTCTCTTCACTCTCTTCCTCTTCCGCTTCCTCTTCCTCTTCCTCTCCTTCTGCTGCTTGCTCCATGGCTTTCTCCGCCACCTTTATCGCTGCCTGCACGTACATCATTTTCAGCAGTCTTGTAAAATTTTTGCCAAGTCACCGATTAATTAACGCTTAGATGTTAGGCGTTGACCAGCCACCTAATGTATCACCATAATTGGTTATCTAAGCGGCCGACTGGACCGCCTAAATACTGCCTAGGCGATGACCGCCTAAGTAGTGTTGTTAACAAACTGAATATAAACGATCAGATGTTATTCGCGTTCGTTTGTTAAGATTTTTTAGGTATTCGTGTTTGTGTTCGCTTGTTAAGGTTTTAAAATCTTGTTCATGTTCATTTGTTAAAAGTTCATTAGTGTTTGTTAATGTTCGCGAGCACATTCGATTTGTGATCGTTAACTTATCGAACACGTTCATGAACATGTTTGTTAACAAGCACGTTCACGAATATGTTCATTAATGTTTGCGAACATGTTCGTTCATGTTTTTAAATGCTTAATAACCAAACATATGAACATATTCATAATCACAATTCGTTCGTGAACAAGAAATAATCTATGTTCACAAAAGATAACCAAATAAGTAACACAACTACAAAGAGAATACAAACAAATATTAAACGAACACAAACGAGCTTATTCACAAACATTAAACAAATACTAAACAAGCTTGTTCACGAACATTATTAAACGAACACAAATGTGCTTGTTCACGGTCTCTTAGCAAACGAGCTCTAAATTTTGTTAATGTTCTTTTACTTTAATAAACGAACAGAAACGAACGCTTACCGAACATGAACACGAGTAATTTACCAAAAGCTCTGTTCGCTAACACCTCTACACCTAGGCCTCCTAGATGCCAACTAAGCCTCCTAAGCACCGACGAGGCCACCTAAGCACTGACGACTAGGACGCCTAGTCGGCCGAATAGATATTGTTCCCTTCTTTTTCAAATAGGTTATTTCACTCAAAATGACATTTTGAGCGAAATAACATTAAATTGTTTAAACTCTAAATGTTTTTATGTTAATATTTAATATTTTAGTGTTAACTATTAAAGTATTAAATAATTTATAATTATCAAGTCTTAGAAAATTTAAGACTTATTTTTTATTTTTTATTTATAAAAAAAAAAAATACACAGACGCTTAGGCGCGAGGCGCTCCCCGACCGCTTGAAGAGCGTCTAACAATTTTTTCAACTATAATTTTCAGTCAAAATGTATTTACATTATATTTCTTTTAAATGATCAAGAAAACTCAGATCGCAGTTACTACTTAAACTTATGACCTAATTGGCACAGAACTAAAAAAAGTAAATTAGTCTAAATTATCATAGTTAATCCGTAATAATAGTAATAATAATAATAATAATAATAATAATAATAATAACAACTTTGAATTCTTTTTAACTATTATTATCATACACATACATCTACCATATATTTTATTATCTTCTTTAATTTAATAATTTAATAATAATAATAATAATAATAATAATAATAATAACTTTGAATTTTTTTCCACTATTGTTATCATACACATACATCTATCATATATTTTATTATCTTCTTTAATTTAATAATAATAATAATAATATATTGAAATTTTATGTTAGTTATTTCTTAAAATGTAAATATTAAATATTAAGACCCTTCAATTATATACTAAAGTATAATTGAACACTCGAACTAAAAAATCTCTAATTATACTCTTAAACTTATTAAATTTGTGCAATTAACTTATTTGACCTATAATAACATGTTACACCTAGCTCATCTGCCACGTAGGATGCTACCTAAGATGCCACTTATATTTAACATTTTTTAAAAATTAGGAAAAGTGTCAAATAGACAATGAACTTTACTCAAAAGGGCAATTAGTCCTTTGGACTTTGAAAAGTGCAAAGGAACACTCAAACTTGTTAAAATAATTCAATTAAATCTGATTTACAAATAACCAATAGGCTACCGGTAAAATTCTGACCATTGATCAATGTTCACGACCATTAAAAAAATTACTAGCACCATTTTTTGATCTTCTCCACCGAAGAAGACGACCAACCGGTTGTCTTCTCTAGTGGAGAAGACGACCTCAATATGGTCGTCTCTTCCATGAAGAAGACAACCATATTTGATATTTTGTAGTTTTAACCCCCTCTCTCTCTCTCTCTCTCTGGACCCATTCCTGCCCAATTTTCTGGGCTACTGGAAATTATGAAATTTTCGACCACCTGAAAGTGATCTTAAATCAAGTCGAAAACTTTGTTCTGACCACTTTTAGTATCCGAAAAAATCTTTGTTGCTATTTTCGACCACTTTTTAGTATTAACTTGATTTAAGATCACTTTCAAGTGGTCGAAAATTTCATAATTTCCAGAGACAAAGATGGAGAATATTTTCAATTTTCTGTCAGGACAGGGAGGGGATGGAAATGAGGACGGGGTGTATACTTCACGTCCCGTTGCTAGCCTACTCATAAGTGCAACACATACTAGCACTTAGCACAATATAAAAAATTACGCATGATATATTTCTGTGGTGCAATACTAAGTGCACTTCATATCACTCAAAAGTGCACCACAAAATATTTATAACTACACTATAAACTAACACGTAAATGCATTGTCAAAATATACATAATTAAAAAATTACAAAATTGTCCCCCGTATTTTATCATCTTCATTGATTTCAACCCATTTGATTTATACTGATCAATATGTCCACATAACCACACGGAAATCATTCCAACACCAGAGCAAGGACATATCTACAAATCTACAAATATATATATATATAGAGAGAGAGTAATAGTAATGGTGGGTACGTACAGATTCAGCTCCAATAGCGACGGCCTCTTTGACGTCGCGAACAACATGTCTAACCTCTCTCGCACTCTCTGTTATTGCATTCGCTGCTTCTATTACTTTTTCGCACGTCTCTTTATCTATCATCGTCTCCGCCTGTTCCTTCTTCCAATCACAAACTCTATTCATCAGATTAAATCACCTACATACTATTAATCTATTATTATTTACTTCCAATTTCGAATATTAATATTAATATCAATACTAATTAAATTGAATAATTCAAAAGGAAATTCGAAAAAACACTCACTTTTTGTGAAGGTCTCGTAGCGGACACAAATCCTCTACAGATCCCTAAACTCTGTGGAGCAATGGTGGTTGAAGAAATGCATTTGGATAATAAACTATCTGCTACTTTCAAACTGCCCATCACGTCTGATCTTACCATAATATTTCTTTCTTTCTTTTTTTGTTAGGTAACTTTACTATGATCCTAATACCTGTTTTTTTAGGTTAATTGTTTAATTACTTTTATGTTAATATATGTCTGGGTACTAGGATGAGAATGCAAGGTGTTCCGACACGTGTTAGTTGCTGAGTGTTTTTCTGCCGGTGTGTAGAAACCTCTCTAACTGCATTGGACAGTTTTGCAACAGCCAACAGATAAATATAAATCGGACTTTTTTCTAATATTTTTTTAGAAATAGGAATAAGGTTCAAATTGGCCACTGAACGTAACATGAAAATGCAATTAGGCCATTGAACGGAAAAAAAAAAGTGCAATTAGGCCATTGAACACTCAAAAAATGTGCAATTAGGTCACTGAACTCTCCAAACGTATGCAATTTTACCGGATAGCAGGTTACGATCAATTTTAGCAGGTTACCTGCTTACGTGGCAGCTTAGTTGGCATTTTTAATAATTTTTAATAATTAATTTTAATAATAAATTTTATTAAAAAATTGGAAAAAATTAAATAAAAAATAAAATAAAGTCGTTTTTATTTTTTAAAAAATTTTTTTAATAAAAAGTTATTATTAAAATTTATTAAAATTTATTAAAAATGCCAACTCAGCTGCCACGTAAGCAGATAACCTGCTAAAATTGAGGGTAACCTGCTATCAGGTGAAATTGCACATTTTTGGAGTGTTTAGTGGCCTAATTGCACTTTTTTTTCGTTCAGTGGCCTAATTGCATTTTCAGGTTACGTTCAGTGGCCAATTTGAACCTTATTCCTTAGAAATATTTAGGTGATCTTAGTTAAGGGGGTGTATTCAATCCGGACTTTTAAAGAGTTTTAAAGACTTTTAATGATTTTCAAAGTTTGGGGGTATTCAATTTAGACTTTTAAAGACTCTTTAAAAGTCTACCGGTATTCGATTCAGACTTTTCAAAAGTCTTTAAAAGTATACTGGTATTCGTTTCAGACTTTTATAGAGTCTGTAAAAGTCTACTGGTATTCAAATATTTATCAACTTTCATAGACTCTATTAGAATAGGATTCCTGTGGACTTTTTCTTCATTAATATAAATAGATGAAATCCGACCCTCCAACCCCAAACTTTTCAATTTTCTCTATAGACTTTTATCTCTATCTCAACCAGATAAATTTTTCATCAATTTCTACCAAAATTTACGATACGTTTTAAACTTTTCATAAAACTATACTTTATAATTTTTTTTTTATTTATGTATTTTGTTTTAATTTGCTGCTGTGAACAGCAAGCTTGCTGTTCGCAGCAAAAATCTGCTGCGAACAGCAGCTAGCTGCTGCTGTTCGCAGCAGAATTTAATCTGCTTATACTGCTGCGAACAGCAGCAACAGCTAGCTGCTATTCGTAGCAGATTTTAAGGTAAGTAATAAATCACTCTATTTGATTAATTATTGTTTTTTTTTATGAGTGACATAGATATTCTTATACATTTGAATATGAAATTATATGTATGTGTTGAATTTACTTTAGGATTGTGTTGGAGCTATTGATGGCACACATATTCCAGCAATGGTAACTGGGCGTGTTGTAAGCAGTTATCGTAATCGTCATGGAATAATTTCACAAAATATATTGGCTGCTTGTAACTTTGATTTAGAATTCATATATGTTCTTAGCGGGTGGGAGGGTTCAGCACATGATTCAAAAGTGCTAAGTGACAGTTTATCAAGGAGGAATGGCCTTAAAGTGCCACAAGATCAGTTTAGTTTTTTTTTTTTTTTTTTTTTTTTTTTTTTTTTTTTTTAACGAATATTAAATAACTTTACATATTGGATAATTAATATGTTAAGTGTGTAGGTAAATACTTTTTAGTGGATTGTGGATTTCCAAACCGACAACAGTTTTTAGCTCCATATCGAGGTGTACGGTATCATCTCCAAGATTTTTTCGGGCAAGGTCGTGACCCTGAAAATGATGTTGAGTTATTCAATCTACGACATTCTTCTTTGAGGAATGTAATTGAGAGAATATTTGGTATATTCAAATCGAGATTTACGATCTTCAAGTCAGCACCTCCATTCCCTTATAAGACTCAAGCAGAACTTGTACTAGCTTGTGCAGGCCTTCATAATTTTCTTCGCAAGGAATGTCGTAGTGATGAGTTTCCAGTTGACCTAAATAATGATGAATCTCTTTCACCTTTACCGATGAATGATATAGATAATTTTGAACAACTATTTGAAACTCAAGAGCAACAACGAGAACATGCCAATGAATGGAGGGCTAAAATAGCTTTGGATATGTGGAGAGATACTCAACAAGGTGAAATCAATTCCAATCAAAGATAATTGTACTAACAAGATGAATATTTTAATTTGTAATTTTTCATTTTATTTTTGTGACAATCAATTTTTTTTTTTTGCAATACATTAGTTTATTTATGGTTTATAAAAATATATTTTTGTAAGAAAATCATAAATAATGTATTAATAAAAGTTATGAAATGTTTGTAAGGGTGTATTCAATTTAGAGTTTTAATGACTTTTGTAGACTTTTTAATATGAAAAAATTTTTAAAAGTCTATAAATGTTTGTCCTATGGATTTTTAAAGACTCTTACAAAGTTGATGAAAGTTTAAAAGATTCTATGAAAGTCTACAAAATCTCTACAAAAGTCATTTAAAATCCATCATTTTAAAAGTCTTTGAAACTCTTTAAAAGTCTTGATTGAATACACCCCCCTTAGTTTTGACGAACTACTCTTAAATACACAGAACTCTACTCTTAAGTAGTTGTAAAAATAAATCGCGAGTCGTTCAATCAGTTTACAGGTATCTCTAGCCTTTATGCATGCACAAAAGATATGATCCAATTCAGACTTTTCATTATTGAGCCTTTTTTTTCCATTTATGTTTTTAATGAAATTCAAATTCTTACACCACGACTTTCAATCAATTCAAGACATCAATTAAGTTATGCGATGAACCATGTACTAAGTTTTGGGTGCGACTTTTTCTATTTCTGTAATTAGGAGATTTGTCAATTTTTTATAAAAATATTTTTACATTTTTAAGCTCTAGAAAGAGACAGAAATAACTGTGCATAGTGTATTGGGGTACTTATATTGATATTTTAATATATGGATGTAATTTTTTCGTTCAGTGATCAAGTGGATGTATAATTAATGGTAAAAATTTGTGTGAAACAGTCTCATAACCTTGTTCGTGAAACATGTCAGGTCATGATAAAATGTAATATTTATACTAACAAATATAATATTAAATTATGAATAAAATGTTTAGTAATGAGAAAATGTAATACTTTTACATTTTGATATAAAAGTATTACATTTTTCATCAAAAGTATTACATTTTTCATTAAAGTGTAATATATTACTTAAAATATAATATATTTTTTTATAAAAAAAAAATAGTTTTACATCAAAATATACAAGTATTACATTTGTTCTCAAAAGTATTACATTTTCCCTTATAAGTAACAAACACTTTTTTTTTTCTAATTTAGTATTACATTTGCTAGTATAAGTATTACATTTGCATATTAACTCAACCTGGACCGTCTTACGAATAAGGATCCGTGAGACCGTCTCACACAATGTGACCCATAATTAATTAGATATATAGTTGAACTTACTGGTTTAATAACCCAACCTTCTTAAGAAAAAAATCAGAGGCTAATATAGCCATAGCCATTCTCTAAACACAAAAATACTAGTTGGCTCCAAAAATCTACTTTCAATTTTTATTCTCATTAAGTTTTCAAATTTTATTGGAGAAAAATAAAAAAGTAATAGATAAAAATCTTGATCTCCTGAAAGGTTAGCTCACTTTCCTAGTAGCCACTCCACTAGCATCCCGCTCAAGGATGTCCCAATGCCTTCGGGTGGGTGATCCAGAATGGTGGTCTTCCAGTCACTAGTTTGTCCTAAGTTAATTGGCGAGAAAATCTGCACATTGGTTTCCCTCATGAAGAACATGAACAATATCACTAATTTCCAACTGATCTAGGATGATTCTGCAGTCAACAATCAACGTTTCAACTTCCGGGCGTGGTTCACTGTCCCCTTTGACCGCTTGAACCACAACTTAAGAGTCCATTTTCACGACCATCCTGTTGAAACCCCTTTGTTTAGCCAGTTTGAGACTCTCATGAAGACCCTATAACTCTGCCATGAAGCTACTAGTAATCCCAATTTGTGTAACGAACTCAGCAATCCAGTCACCATTTAATAAAAATGATAATCCCTTTATATTAGCAATCAAAGCATGCTACATACTAATTAAGAGATCAGATAAAAATGGAAGTACGTGTACAATTATTTAACTCCTCTAAATATGTCATAGTAACGATATGCTTGCATGTTCTCTAATCTACATGAATCGAGATGTCATCATGAGAAAAATGATATACTTATTCTCTCAATAGGTTCAATTCCAAAGACTTCTACTCTGACTCGACAAAGTATTTGGGAGGAGAAAAAAAATATTGGTTGTAATTGCGAAACAAATCTCTAACGCAACATAAATAAATAGAGAATTGTATGTTCGATCAAGCATGCAACCTTTCATCCATGTTAACACCATTATCCTAACAAAATGTGATCTCGTATCACACTTGTAAAATTTTAAAAGTGACCTACCCATGGCATTATATTATATATTTAGGGTGTGTTTGGTTCATGGGTTTCTACATCGATCAGGAATGTGAATCAAAATCACAGTTAATGTTTAGTTGATAACTTTTTGAAACACAACTATAAGATTTGATTACCCCTTCAATAAAAGACTACATTTACTAATTAAAAGCGAGTATCATTCCATCTTATTGGTAATTTGATTTTTAAGTTTGGATTAGTGCTTTTAGATTTTTATTTTGATTTTTTGTTCATATTGGTATTTTTGATGTCATTATATTAGGATTAATTGTCTTAATATTTTATTTTTGTATTTTTAAAACATTTATTCCCATTATAAGGTCATATATAACCAAACATCAATATTAGTAATTATTCCAATTTCACCCTACT